CCTCCTCCTCCTCATCATGACCGCGTGGTGCCCTCGAGATCCCGAGAGACCTCGCCGCGCGGTCCGTCACCGCACGGTCTCAGGACCTCGGCGGACCTGGCCTCCCGAGTCGCGTCCTCAGAGAGCTGCCACGGTCCCAACCCCGCGCGGTGGTCCCGAACTCCCCACTTGACCCACCACGCGGTGTGGTCACCACACCGTCTTCGGGCCTCCGAGGGGCGCCGCGCGGACCTCATCTGTCTTGAGGGCTGCCCTCCTCCTCCTTCTCCTCCTCCTCCTCCGCCTCCTCCTCATTCTCCTCCTTCTCCTCCTCCTTCCTCCTCCTCCTCCTCCTCCTCCTCCTCCTCCTCTTTCTCCTCCTCTCCCTCCTTCTCCTCCCTATCCTCCTTCCTCCCTCCTCCTCCTCTCCTCCTCCTCCTCCTCTCTCCTCCTCCCTCCTCCTCTCCTCCGTCTCCTCCTCTCCTCCTCCTCCTCCTCCTCCTCTCTCCTCCTCCTCCTCCTCCTCCTCCTCCTCCTCCTCCTCCTCCTCCTCCTCCTCCTCCTCCTCCTCCTCCTCTCCTCCTCCTTCCTCTCCTCCTCCTCCTCCTCCTCCTCCCTCCTCCTCCTCGCCTCCCCTCCTCCTCCTCTCCTCCTCCTCCTCCTCCTCCTCCTCCTCCTCCTCCTCCTCCTCCTCCTCCTCTCCTCCTCCTCCTCCTCCTCCTCCTCCTCCTCCTCTTTCTCCTCCCTCGCCCTCCCGCGTGGGCGCCACGACGGGATGGGCTCCGGGGGCGTGTCCGCCCCGAGAGGGGTGCCGGCGGCTCCCCCAAAGAGGGGCAGGGCGAGGGGGCCGGGCTGCTTCGCAGCAGGCTGCTTCTCAGAAGGGCGCCGGCCCTACAGGAGGCTGCTTCGCAGGAGGCTGCTCAGCAGGAGGCTGCTCAGCAGGAGGCCTCTCAGAGGCTGCTTCTCAGGAGGCTGCTCAGCAGGAGGCTGCTCAGCAGGAGGCTGCTCAGCAGGAGGCCTCTCAGAGGCTGCTTCTCAGGAGGCTGCTTCGCAGGAGGCTGCTCAGCAGGAGGCTGCTGAGGCAAGGCCCGCGCCTTCTACGAAGCAGGGGTGTTTCTAAGAAGCCTTCCCCCCTCCCCCCTACCCCCCTCTGCGCGTGGCCGCGGGCTTGTTTGTTCTGAAACGGACCCGAGGATGAGCGAGCTAAAGCGGCGCCCAAAGACGCACCTTGGAGGGTGAGGTCCTCTCTCTTCGGATGCTTGCCTATGCGTGTCTGAGAGAAGATGCAAGACCGGTCCCTGATGGGCGGCTTGCATTCCTTGGCCAATCCTCGAGCGTGGCCTTGGGATGCTTAGGCATGGCACTGCAGGCAAAGCGGAGGAGGAGGAGAAGGAGGAGGAGGAGGACGAGGAGGAGGAGGAGGAGGAGGAGGGGTGGAGGAGGAGGAGGAGGGGAAGGCGGAGGAGGACGGGATGAGTCAGCATCGAATCGGGAAATTGGATCGGATCAGAGCGTGAGTCGGACCGGCCTGCACCCGGCGTGGAGTCGGAATCGCAGCGGCTCGGCCGCGCCAAGACGCACGACTGCGCCGTGCGAGCACAGGGCCGCATCGGATCGCCAGGAGGTCGGAACCGGAGCGGATCCGGTCTGGCGAGCCCGACTCCAAAGCGGACCCCTCGGATCGGGATGGGCCCTGAAGGGAGGGAGGGACAGAGCGGCCGGCCCGAAGCGCGCGAGGCCCGGGGCCAGGTCCTGGGTCCAGGCGCTGCAGCTGCACCTTCTGCGGCCACCACTGCCACCGCCGCGGCCGCAGAGGATGCAGCAACGATGGGACCCAAACCATGAGGGACTCAAACCACAGAGAGCCCCGACCAGCACCACAGCCACGAGGGGGAATCCATCGCTGGGGGGGTGCGGGGCCCCCACACGTTTGAGTTTGCACATAAGACTTGAAGGTCGCTGGGGGGCAGCGTTGTTTCGAGGGCCAAATCCCTGTACGCTCGGCGGGCGCGCTTGATCGGTCAACGGCAATCCTTCCAGCCGCCCTTCGCGAGAAGCTCTGATTTCAGGTTTGCTCTTGCCGACGATTGGGCTGCTCATGCTTGCCCTTGCCCAATGAAAGCATTGCCCTCTCCCCCGTCGCCCCAGAAACACAGATCGCGCTCGCTGCCCCTCAGCGAGCTTCAACTTAAGACGGCCTTTGCACTTGGGGGGCGCCACTTGTGCTCACGAGGAGCTGGTCATGTCCCCCATCGGGCCTCCTCGGCCGACACAGCACCTCTCCCGCCCTCGCCCGTGCGTGCGTGGCCCGCTACGGCATGTCTGCCCACGAAGGCCTGTCTGCCACCCTCGCCCGTGAGTGTTTGGACTGCCATGGCCTGTCTGCCGCCATCGCCCGTGGAGGGTTGGACCGCCATGGCCTCAACTGCGCGGACCGCTGTGGCGATGTGTCACACCGAGGGTTACACGCATCAAATTCGACATACAACACACGAACCACACACACAAAGATTGAACGCCCGATAGGAAGCACCAACACCAACATAGGGGGGGGGGCCTCCACCAGGGGAAGGTGATCCTCAAGAACGGAGATGGTGGCATTAATATTTCGGTCACATAGGAAGCCCGAACAAAACCACCATCACCGAGATCGGGATGATTTTCCCTCCGTGGAGGCAAATCACCGATCATGGTGTCGGAGCCACCCTAGGCCTGCGAGGCGGAAATAATCACAGAAAGCACTTAATTCAGCGGCGCTGAGGGTCCCCAAGCGCTAGCAGCTGATGGAAGTGCGAACTGCGACCGAGCATCGCCAGTAGCGCAGCGTTCAAGCGTCGCACACTGCAACATGCAAGTGATGGTTGGTTGGATCAGTTTTTAGGTAAAAGAGCACATACAGCGGCCAGAACACGAGGCGACGACTGAGAGTCATCGAACACACACACACACAGAGAGAAACAGACATACAGTCGGGGGCTTGACCTAAGGAACCCAAAACAAGGAACGAGGTCCCTTTTTTCCATGAGTTAAACTTCGATTTCCGATCGAAAACATAGGCAAAACCTGGGGCGAACTGCAAAACAACTGAGGAACACCGAGCCCCTCCCCAACGAAAGGGGTTCCTTCCTCAGGGCCCCGACTGTACATACACACACACTTTTTTTGTCTTTTTCTTTTTTTGTTTACAGCCGCGGGCGGAAGCGCCAACGGCGGCGGGTAACGGTCGGGCTGCGGCCGCTACAAATTGGCCGGAGGCGCGCGCGAACCGCGGCCGGCGCCGAGCGGCGGGTGCAAGGGTGCTACTGCCCAGGGAGTCTGATGGGGACCCAGCACCCAGGGAGAAGTAATTACGCTGCCAAAGTGGCGCGATGCAAGACCCCAACCGTGTCAGTCCTACAGAACAAATGCAGTCTGAGACACACACACACACACACACACACACACGCACACACACACACACACACACACACGCACACACACCTTCGGGCGGCCGCGGCCTCGCGCGCGCCCGCGCCGAGGCGAGGAGAGCCGCCGCACGGGCGGGCGACAGGGCTCGCGGGAGCGCAGGGCCGACGGGCACGTCGGCACACACGCACACACACACACACACACACACACACACACACACGCACACACACCTTCGGGCGGCCGCGGCCTCGCGCGCGCCCGCGCCGAGGCGAGGAGAGCCGCCGCACGGGCGGGCGACAGGGCTCGCGGGAGCGCAGGGCCGACGGGCACGTCGGCACACCCCGGCCCGGGGCAGCGAAGGCGCGGCGGGTGGAATCAACGGGCGAAGAACGGCACTCCAGATCTCGTAATAAAAGGGAGGGGGTCTGGACCCTCCAAGACAGGCCATTTCTGACCCCCCCCCCGTGGGAGAACCCTCCAAAACATCGTCCCCAGACCCCCCCCAGGCCCTCCAAGATAGGCTGGAAGAGACCCCCCCCGAAATGAGACCCCCTCCCTTTTATTCCGAAATCTGCGGTGCCACCGCAGGCCACCTCGTTTATATACCCCCCCCCCGTTTATACCCCTGCGGTGCCACCGCAGGGGTATAAACTTTCCAGCCGCCCAGGGACGGGCGCCCCCGACCCCGACGGCGAAACAGATCATGTTATACCGTTCTTCGCTCGCGGATGGAATGGTGGGCGAAGCCCCGGGAGGAGGAGGCGCCAGCACGACGAGGGGCAGCAGGACCGCAGAGGCGGGACGGCAGAGGCCAGGCGCGGCAGGAGGCGGGCGGGAGGAGCGGAGAGAGGACGGCAGGAGGAAACCCCCGGAGGGCGGCGCGCGGCCGTGCGGGCGGCCGAGGGCGGGCCGGCACGGGGCCCCGAGGAGAAAAGGGAGCCTCCTCCTCCTCCTCCTCCTCCTCCTCCTCCTCCTCCTCCTCCTCCTCCTCCTCCTCCTCCTCCTCCTCCTCCTCCTCCTCCTCCTCCTCCTCGGCCGGCGGCCCAGGGCCGCGCGGCGCGAGAACAGTGGGTCCGCCCGTGGCTGGGGGATCGAGGGCATCACCCCCAGGGGGGGGGGGGGGGGGCAGGCGCGAGGGGGGCATCGGGCACGGGGAGAGAGGGAGACGGGGAGAGTGGGGGGTTGCAAACGGAGCGGTGCGCAGCGCGGGCGCGAAGGACGGGAGCGCAGCGGCGAGCCGCAGAGGCAGGCCGAGGGCGGCTGCGAGGCGGCAGACAAAGGAGGGCCCTGGGCAAGACGGGCGCTGGGATGAGACAGAAGCGGCGAGCTGCGACGAGGAAGCCGGAGCCGCGCCGCGAGCGGCGAAGCTGACAGAAGGGCAAACGGGCCTCCACAGGAAGAAAAGACAGTATACACACACACACACACACACTGTTGCGTCGGCGGCTGGGCAGAGGGGGACTGCTCCGGCGGATGGGCAACAGGGGACACGCTGTATGCAAATTGAGGCCGCCATGCACGGAGGAGGAGGAGGAGGAGGAGGCCCCAGCGCGACAGGAAGAGAGGAGGCCGGGCCCGCTCAGAGACGCCGACAGCGGCTGGGGGAGCGCCGAGGGGGGGAACCAGCGCCGGCACTGAGCTGCACAGAGCTGCACGGAGCTGAAGCTGGGGGGAACGCAGCTCAGCAGACTGGGCGGCGGGTGCGGGAGCAGCACGAGCGAACCAGAGAGCCGACCCAGCGAAGCGAGACGTGCGGTCCGGGGGAGGGGCCAACGCGCCGAGACCTGGGGCCTACGAGTCGCGGCGGAACGCGGGCCAGGAGGAGCGCCGAGACCAGGGGGGCCTGCGAGGCGCAGGGCGTGGAGGCAGGCGGCGAGGACCCAGCGAGGCAGACGCGAGGCGGGGCGGGAAGAAGCGGGAGGGGCCCCGCCAAATTGGAGAAGCGGCGGGCCCAGGGGAGCGGGCAGGGCGAGCGCCGAGGCCAGAGGGCCAAGCGGCGCGGGCCAACGGCGGGGCATGGTGCCACGAGGCGGACACACACGCACACACACACACACACACTCACACACACACACACGCACGCACGCACGCACGCACGCACACACACACGTAGTTCCAGTTCCGCACAAGGGATCACACACGCACAGGTTTCCACAGGCTCGGGGTTCCACGTATGGGGGGGGCGCACACACACACACACACACAGACTCGATGATTCGATGATTGACACTATTGGGGTTCACGCGCTGGCATTATATGCATGCTCATGCAGACGGGCAGTCAAAATATCAAGGATGTGTACGTAGCATATAAAATGTCACATTGTGCGCACGACTGTTCACGATAAGCATTCCGGAACTGCGTGCACCCGCACACACACACACACACACACACACACACACACACACACACACAAACATACACACACACACGTACACACGTACACACACACACACACACACACACACACACACACACACACAAACACACGCGCGCGCGCGCGTACTTGCCTAGACATGGCAATGTACACATGTGCGTATACAGAAACGCCGGTACGAAATGTGAAAAACGTATGCTCGCACAGTTACGTGCACATAGGTGGACGCCCATAATTATACGTTCGCAAACGTGTTCAAAACAATCCGCATTTCGCGTGCGCATAGGTTTTAGTCTGGCGAACTCCTGATGGGCGTTCCGGCACAGGGCAACCTAAGCTGATTTGGTCATCCGCTGGTCGGTGCGAAAGACTATACTTTGAATGGCACGGATGTCCGCGGAAGTTTCGGCCACGCCGCATTCTCTGTGTACATGGGCAGCAATATCACCAGATGCCGCACTTTATGAATCGGTCCAGACAAAGCTATGTGAAACGTCTGCAGAAAATTCGGCCATGCGAACTTCCACGAGAATTGGGGCCACGCAGCCCTTCCAGAAATTCACGCGTTGCTCGTGGGGCGGCATGCCTACGAAGACAGACTTCAGCAGCACAGTTTTCTGACAGTGCTGTGACAAGCGAGCCTTGCCCGGGCAGTTCGGCCGTGGGCTACGTCGGAAAAGTTCTTGTTGCGGACGAATGGCTTGACACCTGTTCGTCGGCGGCGAGGCAGAGTTGGCTGCACCTGCGCTAAAGCTATCGGGGGCGCGCAAACATGGATTGGGGGAGGTGCCCTCCCCAAGATGCGGCCTGTGCCGCCTCGCTCGGCGGCGGAACTCCGCGATCTCCCACGAAAACGGAACCCGTCGCTAATCCACGCCCCCCTATTCCATGCTTGCGATCGCCTGGAGCCAGACGGGGGCACCGAACAGCAAATTGGCCAGCAGAAGAGTGGCTCGACACACTTTTTGGATTCGCGGGTCGAGAGCGCACCTCTTCCGGTCGAAGCCAAGCGGGCCGCGCAAAGCCTGAATTAACCAGAGGAGGGGGAGGAAAAGGGGGGCGCAGCCTCAAGAACGGCTTGACACACGCGGGAGCAGTCCACGTCGCAGTGGACCCCCCTCGCGCGGACGCCCCCTGGGGGCCCTGGGATCCACGCAGATGGGAGGCCCCGCGGGGCGCCCCGGGAGGCCCGGGGAGGGGCTCGCCCGCCGGAGGCCCGAGGAGAGCCCGTGGGCTGAGGCCGATCGGAAGAGGCCCAGGGACGCACAGGTAAATACACACAGATCCAAGGATCCCCATAGTTTCCCATACCTTCTGATTTTCGTCTTCCCCCACACACACACACACAATTCCCATATTTTCCCCCGTTTTCCGGGGAGTCGACGATTACTTGTGTCTGTGTGTTTCCCCCCCCCCCCGACGATCACCCGACGAACACCTGTGGCACCACAGCTGCGCCGGCTTCTTTGCACCGTGCCCTCGGCTGGGAGCCTGCTGCCTGGCTGTACGTGCACGTGCATGCGAACTGCAGGCACGTTCGCACGCGCGACGTGTGCTTCGCCGTGTGAAAGCACACGTTCACGCATGCATCCGTAAGCAGCTATAGATTTGCACGGGCTCGACGACGGAACGCACGAGCAGATGCGGCGCCTGCTCAGAGCATGCGCCGCCGACAGGGCCACGATGTCCTTGTCGTAAAAGCCCTTGGCCGAGAAGAGCATCCGCAGGGGTTCAACTCCCATGCTAGTGTCTGGCAGGCGCCCCACTTGAGACAGAAGCGATCCCGAAGGGACGGCCGCCCAGGGCTCACAAGACCTGCCCTCGGCTCCACATGAGGGGGTCGGGCGTGGACTAGCCCGGTTCAGCGCACACCCGGCTCAGCCAATCTAGGGAGAAAAAAATGCGCTGGAGTTTGTCGACCTTTCCGTTGAAACAGCACTGTGTTTCCATTGACCAGATAGATGCTGAGGTGACATCTCTGCCTGCCGCTCCTCCTGCGCGGCAAGTAGCGTCCCCTGCTGAGCCGATGTGTAGTGCGACATCGAGCATCGTTTAACAACTCCCCGAAGCTGGGCGAAAACGCCTGGCACGAAAAAATTGCGACGCGAGGATGTCAAGGGACGACGACGACGACGACGACGACGACGACGACGACGACGACGACGACGACGACGGCGACGACGGCGACGCCTAAAACGGGAAAAACCTTCTCCACACGCCGACGGGTCGACGGCTTTGGGCCTCCCCCGGCCTTCCTAGATGTCCTATTGGAGGTCCCTGGAGCCGTCGTGGACGCCTCTCGGGGGTTTCCTGGGCCGTCTTGGGCCGTTTTGAGGCCGCCCTTGGCCGTCGCAGGTGCGTCCTGGCCCGCCTCGGAGACATCCTGCGGCCATCTTTGGGGGAAGAGGAGGAGGAGGAGGAGGAGGAGGAGGAGGAGGAGGAGGAGGAGGTCGAGGGAGAGGAGGAGGAGAAGGAGGGGGAGGAGAAGGAGGATAAAGAGGAAGAGGAAGAGGAGGAGGAGACGGAGGAAAACAGGAGAAGGAGGAGGAGAAAAAGAGGAGGAGGAGGAGAATGAGTTTCTTTCTTTGGGCGCGGGCTGGCGACTAGCCTCAGCTCCCTGCCAAGCCGACGAAGGGCGAGGGCCCAAAGGGCCGAAAGGGACGAAGGGACGGACCCAGGGCACAGAGGCAGAGCCGGCCGAAAGGACCGATCGAAGAACGAGGGACCGAAGCCAGGAGGGCCACAGTCGGCAAGGCCAGAAACACTGGCGGCAATCAAACCAGAGATACAAAAAGGAGGGAAACTGTGTTCGTCTTATTGCTCTCGCACAGCACTCGAACTCCTCCTGCCTGTCATAATGAATCGTTCCTGAGACCGGCAGCAGGAGAGGTGGCGGCAGGTCCCACGAGCCAAGCAGCCGCAAGCGCACGGCGGGCAGACCGCCATGCCGCACCGGTGGAGCGACTTGGCCCGACGTGGCCATCAGAGGGCACATGTTGACGACCTACCAGACCACCCCAACCCAACCCGAAGACCCGAATTTCGGGCTGGGGGGGGGTAAGGGTTCCACACGTGTTTTTCCGATGTTCCCCGACCCCCCCCCCCACTGGAAATGGAGGGCAAATCGGGACCTTCGGGTTGGGTTGGGGTGGTTTGGTGGGCGGTGACATGTTCAGTAGGACGTTGGGCACAACGATCAGATTTGCAGTACTCTTGGTCATCAGCACAACGAGTCTCCCCTGCACACACGAGAGGCTCGTGCACGACTTCCTGGGGCGGTAGCTCGCCCTGATGATGAGATTCGGTGCCAGCAGCAGAAGCAGCACGCCCATGGGCACGACAATTAAGTCCTTCATCAACACGATGAGGCTCAGCTGCACGCTCAGAAGATTGATCTACAAGATCATGAGGAAGAAGCTCGCACTGATGGTGATCATCACCATGAGGCTCAGCTTTGCGTCCAAGGCTTCACCTCGCACATCAAGGCAGCCAACAGGTCGTCCACGATCTTCCTCTCGGAGCCGCACTGGCCGATGTACAACGCGGCGCGAAACTGCTCGAGAGTGACCAGGCTGATGCCGAACGGCATCTTGGGCAGGACAGGCATGTCACGCAGTGGCACGTGCCAAGCCCAGCAGCTGTCAATGCAGGCTGTGACCGCAGACGCCACGGCCCCCAGAAGCCCAGCAGCTGCAAGGGCGTCGCCCCTCTTGGGAAGGTGTCCGCCGATGGCGTCGCTCAAGTTCCAGGGAGCCCTTAGTCCAGCACGGAGCAAGACCATGCGCCGCTGCAGAGCCTGAGCCCGTGGTAGTCCAAGTTTGACTACCTACCAGACCACCCCAACCCAACCCGAAGACCCGATTGTCGGGTTGGGGGGGTATGGGCTCCATATGTGTTTTTGTCGATGTTCCCTGACCCCCCCCCCCCACTGGAAATGGACGGCAAATTGAGGCCTTCGGGTTGGGTTGGGGTGGTTTGGTGGGTGGTAGTCCAAGTTCGCGACGGCACTCACGCCGACGGCGACGCGCGAAGGTCCTCGCACTCGCGGCAGCCCAGCGGCGTCCAGTACTCTTGCTGAAGACGGCGTCGTCCTCCATGGCCGCCTGCGCAGCTGCGCCTAACAGGCGCGCTGGCGAGGGCCTCAGGCGCGGCTCACTTGAGCCAACATGGCTACGGAAGGAGGAGGAGGAGAAGGAGGAGGAGGAGGAGGAGGAGGAGGAGAAGGAGGAGGAGGAG